GGCAAACAAGGCTGCGTTGGTTGGGCCGTGTAGCCTGCATGCCCAATCACCGCATGCCTAAACAGCTTTTGTTCAGCCGAATCGATGGGGCGAAATGGGCGCGGCACGGGCTAGAGAAGAGATGGAGTGATGTGGTACAGGAGGACGTGGAGCTGAGTGGACTTGCCTATGACTGGTACCAGCGGTGTCAAGATCGGCCTCTGTGGAGGAGGCTCGTGAAGGACGCTGCTGGGCAGTTGGAGGCAATCGCTCTACAACAACAACGGAGGGCAGAGGAGCGATGCTCACAACAACGAGCGGAGCACCGGGTGGCTAAAGCACAGCAGGTTGGCACAGTAGGGGGCACAGGTGGTGCATCAGCCAGTCATCTCAGTCAGTCGACCCGTGGCACCTGGGTCTGCCCCGTGAGCTGCCAGCGGGCGTTCAACACTTCACGTGGCCTCAAGGTGCACATAGCCTGGCACAAGCGTCGTGGTGATGTCACCGCCACTTAGTGGCGAATGGCGGTTGTTGTGTTTGTTTGAGTATGTGAGTGTATGTGTGTTTGTTTGAATATGTGAGTGTGTGAGTGAGTATTGGAGTATGTGAGTTTGCTTGTTTGATTGTGTGTGTGAGTGTTGGAGTATGTCAGTGTGTGTGTGAGTGTTGGAGTATGTCAGTGTGTTTGTTTGATTATGTGAGTGCGTGTGTGAGTGTTGGAGCATGTGAGTGTGTTGAGTATGTGAGTGTTGCAGTATGTGTGAGTGTGTGTGTGTGGTTAGCGCGCTGCGCTATGAACCCGGCGACAATAATTTGAATCCCACTCACGGCCACCATCAGTGACGATTATCTCTTCCGATTCTGGGCCTCCCCTAGGCTGACTCAGCCTCAAATGAGTACAGTACTTGTGCGGTGTGTAGTAAACATCGCCACTGAGGAGACAAAGGCGGTGGGACATGGTGCTGGGCACCTATCTCATCGTGTGCCGTCCCGAGCTTTATAGGTGCTCGCTAACAGCACTTGCCCCAACGGTCTGTTAATGCTATACGGGGGATCTTTGTCTTTATGTGCGTGAAAATCCCCGTCCAGTATTGAGGAATGACGCTTGGGGACACGGGGACACAGGGAACACGTGGGAAAGAGACACGGGGACACATGGGACAGAGACACGGGGACACAGGGACAGAGACACGGGGACACATGGGACAGAGACACGGGGACACAGGGACAGAGACACGGGGACACATGGGACAGAGACACGGGGACACAGGGACAGAGACACGGGGACACATGGGACAGAGACACGGGGACACATGGGACAGACACACGGGGACACAGGGACAGAGACACAAGGACAGAGACACGGGGACACATGGGACAGACACACGGGGACACAGGGACAGAGACACGGGGACACAGGGACAGAGACACGGGGACACAGGGACAGAGACACGGGGACATAGGGACAGAGACACAAGGACAGAGACACGGGGACACATGGGACAGAGATACGGGGACACAGGGACAGAGACACGGGGACACAGGGACAGAGACACGGGGACACAGGGACAGAGACACGGGGACACAGGGACAGAGACACGGGGACATAGGGGCAGAGACACAGGGACAGAGACACGGGGACAGAGACACAGTGACAGAGACACATGGGACAGACACACGGGGACACAGGGACAGAGGCACGGGGACACAGGGACAGAGACACGGGGACACATGGGACAGAGACACGGGGACACAGGGACAGAGGCACGGGGACACAGGGACAGAGACACGGGGACACAGGGAACACGTGGGACACAGAGAACACGTGGGACAGAGAGACACGGGGACACGTGGGACAGAGAGACACGGGGACACGTGGGACAGAGAGACACGGGGACACAGGAACACGTGGGACAGAGACACAAGGAACACATGGGACCGAGAGACACGGGGACAGTGGACACAGGTAACGCAATGACCACAAGGAGACACGTGGGGGGGGGGGGGGGGGCCCGGGGTACGCCTTTCGCCCTGCATGCGTCCCTGCGGGCAGAGCCGCCTCCTGTCGAGAGGTCGGGCAGCCCGGACCACGCGTTCATCCCGCGGGGAGCCGCTCGAGACGGCATTGATCGCGACGAGGAAGCGCGGGCGAGGGGGGGAGGGGTAGCGGGAGGGGGGGCGATGGAAGCTCCACAGATGCTCTCAAGTCGGCGTGCGTGACTAGATGGCGTAAGAGTTGCTGTGAGGGTCGGGTGTGTGTGGGAGTGTGCGTGGGTGAGTTGCTGTGAGGGTCGGGGTGTGTGGGAGTGTGTGTGTGGGTGAGTTGCTGTGAGGGTCGGGGTGTGTGGGTGAGTTGCTGTGAGGGTCGGGGTGTGTGTGGGAGTGTGTGTGGGTGAGTTGCTGTGAGGGTCGGGGTGTGTGTGGGAGTGTGCGTGGGAGTGTGTGTGGGTGAGTTGCTGTGAGGGTCGGGGTGTGCGTGAGTGAGTTGCTGTGAGGGTCGGGCTGTGTGGGTGAGTTGCTGTGAGGGTCGGGGTGTGTGTGGGAGTGTGTGCGTGGGTGAGTTGCTGTGAGGGTCGGGGTGTGTGGGGGTGAGTTGCTGTGAGGGTCGGGGTGTGTGGGAGTGTGCGTGGGTGAGTTGCTGTGAGGGTCGGGGTGTGTGTGGGAGTGTGTGCGTGGGTGAGTTGCTGTGAGGGTCGGGGTGTGTGGGTGAGTTGCTGTGAGTGCAGGGTGTGCCACACGAGTTCGATTCCCTCTCACGGCCAACACCCGTGACGGTTACCTGAACCGGTTCGGGGCGTCCCCTAGGTCGACGCAGCCTCAAAATAGTACAGTACCTGGTGCGGTGTATAAACATCGCCACTGGAGACACAAAGGCGGCCGGGCGTGGTGGTGGCCACCCACCCCCTCGTGTACTGTTCCGGCCTTGATAGGTGTTCGCTAACAGCCTGTTAAGGCTATACGGGGAACTTTGTACGTATTTTAAACATATTTTGTACCGTACGTAGCCAACTGTGCTAATCGGAGGTGGGTGACTTGGTGCGAGGGTAGGGGCGTACCCAAACAGATTATGTTTGATCTTGATTTGAAGCTTTCGTGACTGCAGTAATCCATAATTTTTGGTTCTTTCGGTAAAGTCACGTAGGTATAAAATAAAATAAAGCACGACGTTTCGGGCGCAACACAAGCGTCCAGCAGACCATGCTTTCCCACCTGATAATGGACGCTTGTGTTGTGATTTATTTTATTTTATACCTACGTGACTTTACCGAAAGAACCAAATGTTATGTTTGGCCAGATAAAGGGTGATAAACGAGCGTGGTAGGGTGTGTGTGACAGAAGGTATGGACTCATGTTTATCTGGGAGGGTGATTGGATGAGTAGGGTGCATGGGCTAGAGGAGAGGTGGGCTGATGTAGTACAGGGGGGATGTGGAGCTGAGTGGACTTGCCGATGACCGGTACCAGCAGTGTCAAGATATGGCCTCTGTGCAGGAGGCTCGTGAAGGACGCTGCTGGGCAATTGGGAGGAAGTTTCCCTCCAACAACAACGGAGAGCAGAGCTTGCAGAGTGGGGAGCACAGGTGGTGCATCTGCCAATCATATCAGTCAGTCAACCAATGGCACCTGGGTCTGTCCCATGGCCTGCCAGCAAGCGTCCCACACTCTACGTAGCCTCAAGGTGCACCTAGCCTGGCACAAGTTCCGTGGTGACATCACCGACAGGTAGTGGCGGGTGGCGACTGTCCTTGTTGATGAGTGAGTGAGGGGTGTCTGAATGAGTGAGGTGAGCATGAGTGAGGGGTGTGTGCGTAATGAATGAGTGGCATAGGAATGAGTGAGTGAGGGATGCATGAGTGAGTCAGGTGTCTGAGTGAGCGAGGTGTGTGTAGGAGTGAGTGAGGTGTGTGTACGAGTGAGTGAGGTGTGTACGAGTGAGTGAGATGTGTACGAGTGAGTGAGTGAGCGAGTGAGTGAGTGAGTGAGCGAGGTGTCTATGAGTGAGTGAGCGAGTGAGGTGTGTACGAGTGAGTGAGGTGTGTACGAGTGAATGAGTGAGTGAGCGAGTGAGCGAGTGAGTGAGGTGTGTACGAGTGAGTGAGGTGTGTACGAGTGAGTGAGCGAGCGAGCAAGTGAGTGAGGTGTGTACGAGTGAGTGAGTGAGTGAGCGAGTGAGTGAGAGAGCGAGCGAGTGAGGTGTGTACGAGTGAGTGAGTGAGGTGTGTACGAGTGAGTGAGTGAGGTGTGTACGAGTGAGTGAGGTGTGTACGAGTGAGTGAGTGAGGTGTGTACGAGTGAGTGAGTGAGTGAGGTGTGTACGAGTGAGTGAGTGAGCGAGGTGTGTATGAGTGAGTGAGTGAGGTGTGTATGAGTGAGTGAGTGAGGTGTGTACGAGTGAGTTAACGAGTGAGTGAGGTGTGTACGAGTGAGTGAGTGAGGTGTGTACGAGTGAGTTAACGAGTGAGTGAGGTGTGTACGAGTGAGTGAGTGAGGTGTGTACGAGTGAGTGAGTGAGGTGTGTACGAGTGAGTGAGTGAGGTGTGTACGAGTGAGTGAGTGAGGTGTGTACGAGTGAGTGAGTGAGTGAGGTGTGTACGAGTGAGTGAGTGAGTGAGCGAGGTGTGTATGAGTGAGTGAGTGAGGTGTGTATGAGTGAGTGAGTGAGGTGTGTACGAGTGAGTGAGTGAGGTGTGTACGAGTGAGTGAGTGAGTGAGTGAGCGAGGTGTGTATGAGTGAGTGAGTGAGGTGTGTATGAGTGAGTGAGTGAGGTGTGTACGAGTGAGTTAACGAGTGAGTGAGGTGTGTACGAGTGAGTGAGTGAGGTGTGTACGAGTGAGTGAGTGAGGTGTGTACGAGTGAGTTAACGAGTGAGTGAGGTGTGTACGAGTGAGTTAACGAGTGAGTGAGGTGTGTATGAGTGAGTGAGTGAGGTGTGTACGAGTGAGTTAACGAGTGAGTGAGGTGTGTACGAGTGAGTGAGTGAGGTGTGTACGAGTGAGTTAACGAGTGCGTGCGCGCTCCAGGCTGGGCCGCGTCTCCGAGGCGCAGCGTTCCCTGGAGCGGCTGCTGGAGGCATCGCGGCAGTCGAGGGGGCAGGAGGCGGAGCTGCTGGACGCGAGCTGTCGCCTCGCGGACATTCACCTCGCCAAGGTGCGCCGCCCTCTGCCCCCCACCCCCCCGCCAAGCGGCCTCCAGTGAGCTCGCTTCCCCTCTCGCAGAGGAGCAGAGCTCACGGGGGACACTTCGACTGAGTTTGGGTCAGGGTCATGCGTATTGGTCGTGCCAGGGTATAGTTAGGGTCAGGTTTAGGAGTGTTAGGGGTACAGGACTGGGTCGTGTTAGGGGCAGTATTTAGGAGCAGTGCCGCTGCCATCGCGTGCGTGATGAATTATCCGCGCTGGTTACATCCTCCGCTGTATAATTAGAGATTCACGCGCTCTCGTTCATTACCGCACTTTATTAGCTCCTGTCACGCATCGCGCCTCGCGCGGGATCACATCCCAGGCTGGTGGTGGTGGGGGGGGGGGCAGTTAGTCACAAGCCCCGGCGTGGCGAGACCCCGCTCTGAGCGCGCGTCGCCTTTGCCGCAGGGGTCCGCGCGGACCGCGTGCCGCCTGCTGGACGCGGCGCTGGAGCGTGCCCGAGCGGGGGCCGCGGGGCCCGCCGAGGGGGCCTCGTCATCCTCGGCTCCCCGAGGGCCCTCCGAGTCGCTGCTGACGGAGGTCCGCGCGCGCTGCGGCGTGGCCCGCGCCGCGCTGCTCTTCCCGGCCCTCGCCGCCGACCTCGCCCTCCTCGGCCTGGCGCGGCCCGGCCCCGCCTCGGGCCCTGCTCGCGGTGCCCTCGAGCGCCTCCTCTCGTGGAAGGACTCGCGCCTCGGATACTCCCTGGAGGCCGAGCTGGGTGAGCGGGCGGCCGGTCACTAACATCTCACCCGCGGGGCGCGCGCCACTCGTGCGGCGGACGCATCGGGCCCCGGTGCAGTTGCACCGGGGCCCGCACGCTCGATGGGCCCGGCGCCGTCGCTCGTGACTCGGGGCCCCGGTGGCCGGCGGCGCGTTACCCCTTCTGGGCCGCGCGGAATGAGAGGGGCCGCTGAGAGAAGGAGGGCGGGTGGGGAAGGGAGGGAGGGGGGCGGTGGGGTCAGCGCTTGCGTCGCCGTGCGAGGCGCGGTGGACGCAGCCGCGTGACGGTGAAAGGGCGAGGGGGCGACGCGGTGAGGGGCGGGGGGGGGGGGGGGCGCTGAGGCGTGAGACCGGCGCGGAGGGTTGTGGAGGGGCCACCCGACCAACCCGCCCGCCCCCCCTCCCTCCCCTCCGCTCGCCGGAACCCCCCCTCGATTGTTTCACTCCGAGGGTTGAGACACACGGAGCCCCCCCCCTCACCGCCCGCCCCGTGTTTTACAGGAGCCGAGGGGGACGAGGACAAGGAGGAGGAGGAGGAGAGCGATGACGGCTCCGAGGCCCACCGGGGGGACGTGAGCCCGAGCGGAGCTGAGGGGGGAGGGGCCGTGACCTCGGCATGAGCGTGGTCAAGGGGCTCGTGGGACCCCCTTTACGGGGGTCGCGTGGTGTTACTCGTTTATGTTTAGCCTCCTCGCTTGGTGCCTCGATTACAAAGCGTGGGGGACCTCTTTACTGAAGGCCACATCGGACTTTCAAATTCACAGGGCCCCCCCCCCCCCGCGCCACACACACGAACGCACGCACAGCTAAGCGAGACGCCTCCTTGCATTGGCACAAGTGGCCCGGGCGTTGCGCTAACATGACACGCGTTTCGCTGTTGCCAAGACGAACGTACCCTCCCCCCCCCCTAGTATCCGGTTAGTGCGGCTAAGACGCTTGCAGTGACGGACAGACGGGGCGGAGTAAATGAAGTTGGACCCGCGGGCCGTGGGGGATCCTCCACCTCTGCCGATTCGTGTGGCTCCTCTCCCGGCCGTTCCGTTGGTTCCGCTTCTCGCGGTCTCCGCGTTGTGCGGGTCCCGCGGAGGGCCCCTGGTTCCGTAACCTCCACGCGCCCTCCCGCCCACCCCCGCTCCCCCTGCCCCCTCCATCCCCCGCTCCCCCTCCCCTCCATCCCTCCCCTCCATCCCTCCCCACTAATAAAGCATCTCTTTAACGCTAATTTGCCGACGCCCATTAATTATTGACGTGGAGCCGCGCACCCCGAGGGGTAATGAGTTAGAGCACTCCCCCCCCACTCCCTCACTCCCCGCTCCCTCTCTCCCCTCTCTCTCTCTCTCCCTCCCCGTCGCGGACCCGGCCTCCCCGTGGATCCGCTCCGTGAGAAGCTCGCGGGCGCATGCGCGGCCGCGGGCACAGCCTGAGGCGCAGCCCGAGCGGGGACCGGCGGGCACCCCCCCCCTCCCCCACTGCTCCCCCACCCCCTGCTTCCGCCCCCCCCCCAACGCTCCTCTCCCTCATCCACTCCCCCGCAGCTCTCCCTTCTGCGAGGCTCCCTCACTCGGATGCACGGATGGGAGATCCAGTGGGGTGGGGTGGGGGGGTAACGGGTGGGGTGGAGGTGCAGGAGAATTGAAGCCCACGTGGGGGAGGCGATGTGGGGTAAATGTATTGGAGGCGGGGAAGGGGTACAGGAACTTCTCGGTGTGCTCACGTGGCCCTGGACCTCGCCGCACCTGCGTGGGCTCGGTCACGTGGCCCCGTGCGCGTGAGCCGCACCTGCTGGGCCACGCGCAGGATGGAGGGAGAGGCGGAATGGATCCGCGGTGTGCGCGGAGCGGGTTGGCGGGGGGCGGGACGCGCTCCCGATATGCGTCTCCGCTCGTGCGCATTTAGAGTGGGGAGCGGTAGTGTAGGGGTGAGCGCGCTGCGCTACGAACCCGGCGACCCAAGTTCGATGACCGCTCAAGGCCAACACCGGTGACGATTATCTCAACCGGTTCTGGGCCTCACCTAGGTCGACTCGTGGTGGTGGTCGTGGTGGTGATGATGATGATCGTGTTGGTGGTGATGATGATGGTGATCGTGGTGATGGTGATCGTGTTGGTGGTGATGATGATGATGGTGATCGTGTTGGTGGTGGTGATGACGATGGTGATCGTGGTGGTGTTTGGGAGGAGTGGCGTATTGCGCTTTCAACCCGACGAGCTGATATCAATCCCGGGCCGCGGCCAACGTCTGAGGCAAGTGACATCTGCCTCTCCCCCCCATCCACGCTTCCGTTCACCAACCCGCACTGACCAGCGTGTGTGTGGCTGTGTGTGTGTGTGGCTGTGTGTGTGGCTGTTACATATTTCAGTCGTAGTTTAGTGGTAATTAATTGAAGGTGGAGGGGTTACCAGCCCCTTGCACCCGTCCAGAGCCCCCGTTTAGCCACTGTGGTGGACACAGACGCCATGAGGGGAGGAGCTAATCGGAATTGGCCCTCCCCCGTTAGCACTGTCCATGACATAGTTGCCCGTCCGGCACCGCGAGGAGGTAGGGGGTTTCGATTTAAAGCTTTCGTGACTGCAAGGATTCATCTTCTTTGGTTCTTTCGGTAAAGTCACGTAGAATGAGAATAAAGTGACTTTACCGAAAGAGCCAAAGAAGAGGTAGGGGGTTGTTTTGGGCAGTGTGCTTATGACCGGTTCCAGTTTAACAGCAGAGGTCTCACTCCGAATCAGTCGAGCGGCAATATCTTTCATAGGTTGCGTAACGCTGTGTAGAAGCTACCTGGTCTGTCGCTCCGCACTAAGCTTCAGGTCTTCTCGGCCACGGTCATTCCCTCCCTTCTCTATGCTTGCGAAACGTGGACCCCCCTAATGGAACATCTTCGCCGGTTAGAAACATTAGGCTAGCCTGCCTACGATCCAGCTTGGGTTTAACCAGGCTGGATTGTGTGAGGCGCTCACAAATCCTTGAAAGACCTGGACAAGGTCCCATTGGTGAGCTCCTCCGGCAGGCAAGGCTGCGTTGGCTGGGTCATGTAGCCCGCATGCCCAGCCACCGCATGCCGAAACAGCTTTTGTTCGGCCGGATCGAGGGGGTTAAACGGGTGCGGCACGGGCTAGAGAAGAGATGGAGTGATGTGGTTACAGGAGGACGTGGAGCTGAGTGGACTTGCCGATGACTGGTACCAGCGGTGTCAAGATCGGCCTCTGTGGAGGAGGCTCGTGAAGGACGCTACTGGGCAGTTGGAGGCAGTCGCCCTCCAACAACAACGGAGGGCGGAGGAGCGACGCTCACAACAACGAGTGGAGCACCGGGTGGCTAAAGCACAGCAGGTTGGCACAGTAGGGGGCACAGGTGGTGCATCAGCCAGTCATCTCAGTCGACCCGTGGCACCTGGGTCAGCCCTGTGACCTCCTGCCAGCGGGCGTTCGACACTTCACGTGGCCTCAAGGTGCACATGGCCTGCCACAAGCATCGTGGTGACGTCTCCGCCACTTAGTGGCGAATGGCGGTTATTGTTGTTGTGTGGCTGTGTGTGTGTGTGGCTGTGTGTGTGTGGCAAAACAACCCCCTACCTCCTCGTGGTGCCGGACGGGCAACCCTGTTGTGGGGAGAGGGCCAATTCCGATTGGCCCCTCCCCTCATGGCGTCTGTGACCACCACAGTGGCTAAACGGGGGCTCTGGACGGGTGCGAGCGGCTGGTAACGCTTCCACCTTCATAAATTACCATGAAACCACGATTTAAATATGTAACTAATAAACTTGTGCCGGAGGCCCCGGGGGGAAAGGCATCTATGACGTCTCCTGGCCAAACCCCAATTGGCGGAGCCAGCAGATTGAATCTCTACCCTCGGGGCTCCTCCAGAAACAACGAAAAGCCACTTTGTGTGGCCACATGGAATGTTCGAACGCTCACTGCGGAGGAGAGGCTGCCTCTCCTCTGTCGGGAGCTGGACCGGTACCGCCTGGATCTCTGTGGCATTCAGGAGGTCCGGTGGACTGGTTCTGGCTCCTGCCACCATGAGGGGTGGACAGTCCTCTACTCGGGGCAGCAGACTGCCAAACAACAGGGTGTGGCTCTTCCTTTGAACAAAAGAATGAAGGGTGCGTGGAAGCGTGGCGGTGAGGTGTGGGAAGCTGTAAGCCCCAGGCTACTTTGGGCTCGCCTTCCCATCAACCGGAGGCGAGGAGTGGTGGTCGTGGTTATTTATGCCCCCACCGAAGACGAACATCCATGGAGGGATGCAGGCAAAGCCGATGAGTCAGATGCCTTCCATGACCTCCTGTCACATGTACTGGCTAAAGTGGCCCCTCGGGATAGTCATCTTGTTGGGTGACTTCAATGCTCAAGTTGGTCAAGATGCTAGCACCTGGTCTGGAGTGATTGGAGGGCATGGGCCAGATCAGCTCAATAACAACGGTAGGAGGCTGCTAGATTTTTGTGCAGCCCATGGGCTTGTAATTACCAACACGCTGTTCCGGCATCGGCGCATCCACACAACATCATGGATGCATGCCGGGTCCATGCAAGAACATCTGCTGGACTACATACAGTGAGGGGAAAAAGTATTTGATCCCCTGCTGATTTTGTACGTTTGCCCACTGACAAAGAAATGATCAGTCTATAATTGTAATGGTCGGTTTATAAGAACAGTGAGAGACAGAATAACAACAACAAAATCCAGAAAAACTCATGTAAAAAATGTTATACATTTATTTGCATTTTAATGAAGGAAATAAGTATTTGACCCTCTCTCAATCAGAAAGATTTCTGGCTCCCAGGTGTCTTTTATACAGCTTGTTACCTGTATAAAAGACACCTGTCCACAAAAGCATTCAATCAGATTCCAAACTCTCCACCATGGCCAAGACCAAAGAGCTCTCCAAGGATGTCCGGGACAAGATTGTAGACCTACACAAGGCTGGAATGGGCTACAAGACCATTGCCAAGCAGCTTGGTGAGAAGGTGACAACAGTTGGTGCGATTATTCGCAAATGGAAGAAACACAAAAGAACTGTCAATCTCCTTCGGCCTGGGGCTCCATGCAATATCTCACCTCGTGGAGTTGCAATGATCATGAGAACGGTGAGGAATCAGCCCAGAACTACACGGGAGGATATTGTCAATGATCTCAAGGCAGCTGGGACCATAGTCACCAAGAAAACAATTGGTAACACACTATGCCGTGAAGGACTGAAATCCTGCAGCGCCTGCAAGGTCCCCCTGCTCAAGAAAGCACATATACATGCCCGTCTGAAGTTTGCCAATGAACATCTGAATGATTCGGAGGACAACTGGGTGAAAGTGTTGTGGTCAGATGAGACCAAAATGGAGCTCTTGGGCATCAACTCAACTCGCCGTGTTTGGAGGAGGAGGAGGAATGCTGCCTATGACTCCAAGAACACCATCCCCACCGTCAAACGTGGAGGTGGAAGCATTATGCTTTGGGGGTGTTTTTCTGCTAAGGGGACAGGACAACTTCACCGCATCAAAGGGACGATGGACGGGGCCATGTACCATCCAATCTTGCGTGAGAACCTCCTTCCCTCAGCCAGGGCATTGAAAATGGGTCGTGGATGGGTATTCCAGCATGACAATGACCCAAAACACACGGCCAAGGCAACAAAGGAGTGGCTCAAGAAGAAGCACATTAAGGTCCTGGAGTGGCCTAGCCAGTCTCCAGACCTTAATTCCACAGAAAATCTATGGAGGGAGCTGAAGGTTCGAGTTGCCAAACGTCAACCTCGAAACCTTAATGACTTGGAGAAGATCTGCAAAGAGGAGTGGGACAAAATCCCTCCTGAGATGTGTGCAAACCTGGTGGCCAACTACAAGAAACGTCTGACCTCTGTGATTGCCAACAAGGGTTTTGCCACCAAGTACTAAGTCATGTTTTGCAGAGGGGTCAAATACTTATTTCCCTCATTAAAATGCAAATCAATTTATAACATTTTTGACATGCGTTTTTCCGGATTTTTTTGTTGTTATTCTGTCTCTCACTGTTCAAATAAACCTACCATTAAAATAATAGACTGATCATTTCTTTGTCAGTGGGCAAACATACAAAATCAGCAGGGGATCAAATACTTTTTTCCCTCACTGTAGTGACGGACCAGCGGATGCGAGCCCATGTCCTTGACACCAGGACCTACCGTGGAGCTGATCTGCCCTCTCACCATCCTTCCACTCCGGTGGTGGGTGTACACCCAGGACCCCATTC